TGAGATCGGGATACAGCGGTCCCTGTGATGTTCGAATTGGCGAGGGCTGTGGAGTGGAAGACACGTACGGATACCAGCGCACCAGATTGAGCGCGTAGCCGCATTGGCGTTGCCACTCGTTCATGCGCCGAGTAACGTTGTTCGCGCGGCCGATCTTGAGCATGATCGTCTTCTTGCTATCCTCTTTGGTGCCATCGTACGAGTACTCAGTCATGACATCGCTGATTCGTCGTTCGTTCTGCGATCTCAGCCCAGGCGATAAAAGTGATCGCGCCGTGTCTTCGGCAGGAGCTTGGCGAGACTGCGGCGTAAGCCAGAAGATGTAGATATAGCCTTCTTCGTCGTGTGGGCTTATGGGCTTAATCAGCTCTGCAAGCAGGGCGGATGTGGTTTGAGGCGTTAGATGTGGCGGTATCAGCGAGAGGAGCTGGTTGGTGTGCGAGTTACTCGAGCTTCGTTGTTGTGGCGCAGGTCGAAAAGGTAGGTCTATGATGACAGGTTTGCGAGCCGGATTGGTGGCGCTCGATCTTCTCGAGTCTGTAGGCTTATTGCCTGGTACTCGAGGCGGCGGCTGTGATACCATCTCCGGCTGTTGAGTCTGCCCCGTCCGTTTGCGATGCCGAACAACCTCAACATAATCGTCCTCATCGATGGTGGCCATACAACACAACGAAGCCCAAAATCCAACCTTCTTCGGCCTCGGCCTCGGCTTCGCAGGCGGTGCACTGTAGGCATACCTCCCGCCATCTACTGGAGGCACCGCATAATCCTGCGCCTCGGTTCTCCTCGGTGGCCTTGGATTCCTAGTCTTCTTCCTACTCTGTCCCCACCCCTCCTCCTCCTCCACAGATTCCAGCCCAAGTCTCTGAACCATAGTATCAATACTACTCCTCTCCTTCAGCGGAAACAACTCCGTAGATCGCCTCCCGTTCTGCTCTGCACCAGCTCTCGCCTCCGCCTGATCCTTATGCTGCCAACAGTAAAAACTAGCCTCCTCCTCCACCCCATCTTCGTGCACGATCGCGACCACACCTCCTAAACCCGAGGGCTTCCTCCTCCCAATTGTCGAGGATTTCGGGGCGGCTAAAGCGCGTCTACATGCTCTCCCGCTGCTTGTGAGACCACGACAAGTGGATGCAGCGTTCCTGGAGTCATTGCGGCCGAGCAGTGCTTCGGGGGTTGTTCCAAAATTCGGCATGTTTGATAGATAGAGATAGGATGGTAGTAGAGGAGACTTACGATGTACCTACGCGTGTCTGTGAGAGGACGGGAGGCAGTGCTGCCTTGACTGCTGCAAGGGTGACGTGGTTTAGCGGTCGAGGAAGTCAAGTCCAGTCCGCGTAAAGTGTTTGGCTGGGGACGCCACATATGTGCTCCAGCCACAATCACAAGCGCGTTGACATGTGATCGACGGCGACAGTCACAGACTTTCAGACATGTTCAGTATGTTATGTGGAGTAGCACATGGATGAATACAGCTGCCATACTCAATTGCAGCTCTCTATGCCGTAGAAGCTAAAGCGTCCCATAGTATTACACAATGCCCTCTCACTTGCTTCGCCAGCAAGCAAGCAACAACCTCTTCCCCTCTCCCTCCCATACTCATATCACACACCCCACCCACCTACAAATACAAACCCTCCGGCTCTCCCTCGCTCTTCGTCTTGAGCACACTCTCTCGTGCAGCCCTGAAATCAGCCATGTTCACCCTCATTCGCCTCTCTCTCAACGCCAAAAGTCCGGCCTCCGAGCAAATAGCCCGGATATCCGCACCAGAAAGATCGTCCTTACTCTGCACAAACTCCTCCAAATCCACATCGGGATTCAAACTCATCTTACTCGTATGCAGCGTGAAAATCTTCTTCTTGGTATTCTGATCCGGGTTCTCGAACAGAATCTTGCGATCAATACGGCCGGGCCTGATCAACGCCGGATCCAGAGTCTCGATCTTGTTCGTAGCCATGATCACCTTCACGTCTCCTCTATCATCGAAACCGTCCAACTGGTTCAGGAGCTCGAGCATAGTCCTCTGGATTTCGCGCTCGCCTCCTGAAGTACTCTCGTACCGTTTCGTGCCTATAGCGTCGATCTCGTCGATGAACACGATGGATGGTGCGTGTTCGGCCGCTACCTGGAAAAGTTGCCTCACCAAGCGGGGACCGTCGCCAAGGTACTTCTGGATCAGCTCGGAGCCAACAATGCGCAAGAACGTGGCGGATGTTTGGTTCGCAACGGCTTTGGCTAGCAATGTCTTGCCCGTTCCCGGTGCGCCGTAGAGGATCACACCCTTCGGGGGCTTGATGCCCATCTCTTCGTACAGCTCGGGGTGCAGCAACGGCAGCTCGACAGCCTCGCGGACTTCCTGGATTTGCTGCTCGAGACCGCCGATGTCTGCGTAGGATTCTGTGGGCGCTTTGTCCAGTTTCATCACTGAGACAAGCGGATCCGCGTCATCAGTCAGGACACCCACGACGGAGACGGATTTGTGATGTAGCAGGATACTCGCACCGGGCTCCAGGAGGTCCTTGTCCACGAATGACATGATGGAGACGTAGTACTCTGGTCCTGTGGCTGAGGAGACAATCGCGTGATCATCATCAATAAGCTCCTCCAAGTTTCCTACTCCCATCGGACTGCCGCGCATGTCGTCTACTCTACTCCTCTCATCTGCGTTGCGATCTAGTGCATCGCTATCGCCTCCTGCCGACGCTGGCTGCTTCTCATTCGCGGCTTTCGCCTTCCGTAACCGCTCCTGGTTCTCCACGAACTCTTCTTCAAGCAACAGATGATCGTGCACGCGCTGCATGCGGAGATATCGCAGCTTGCATCGTGCGGTCGGGTAGATGGTGGGTAGCTTTGCGGAGGCGTTGGGGCCCTGCGCCTTCTTCTTGCGGCGCCCGATGCGCGTGGTGGGCTGTGGAGGTGGTTCGTACTTGGGCTTGTCCTTCTTCTCGCCCTTTTTGGCTTTGTCGTCGCCGCCGGGTGGACCGCCGGCGCCAGGTGCTCCGCCGAGCCCGGATTGGCCTTGACCCTGGGGAGTGTGTTAGCTGGGGTGAGCGTGTGGTAGGTGATGCGATGACAACTTGCCATGGTAGTGAGGTGATGTGCGGGTGTTGGTTGAAGGTTGATGTGAGGGTGTTTGATGGTCGAACTCAAGTGATGGACGACGCGGCGACATGTGCCTGATTCCGCTGACTAAACAGACGAGCTCTCGACTTCACGGCAAGCTCACTCTACAGTCCACTCTGTACACACTCGGGACGACATCACATTTCGATACTGATCGGAGCTATTGATCTGTCATAACCATAGATCAGATCTCCAGCAATCAACAAACTTGACCGTCCCTCACCACCTTCACACTCGCATCAGCCTTGCCAGAGCCTCACACGACCACCTTCGGGGAGCCTGAGCGGCGATTATCATATTCCGCCATAGTCACCACCACATACGTATTGCATAGCCGCTTCACTTCACGTGCAAACACGCTATACCACAGCCACTCGCTTGCCACGCACCCTCAGCCTCTTCGGAGGCAAACCACTCTCCCATCTCGATTCGCCTACACATATCTCGACCCCATCACCCACCATCCACCAAGATCATGGCCGCGAACAGGAATCGCAGACTGCAGAAAGAGATTGCCGACATCCACGCCGACACCCACTCTGGCATCTCCCTCACCTCCGCCAACACCAGCCAACCAGACATCACCGACTTCACCCGCTTCCATGGCCACTTCCGCGGTCCACCAGATACACCGTACGAGGGAGGGCACTACACGATTGACATCCGGATTACAGGTGAATATCCATTCAAGCCGCCGGAGATGAGGTTTGTAACCAAGATTTGGCATCCGAATGTCAGCAGCCAGACCGGAGCGATATGTCTCGACACTTTGGGGAGTGCGTGGTCTCCGGTGTTGACGCTGAAGTCAGCGTTGATAAGTCTGCAGTCTCTGCTTAGTTCACCTGAACCCAAGGACCCGCAGGATGCTGAGGTAGCATCTATGCTGCTGACCCGCCCGGAGGAGTTCGCCCATGTGGCGAGGGAGTGGGCTATACGGTATGCTAATGCTCCGAAACCTACGCCTGGCTCAGGACGGACAGGTGGATCATCGTCTGGAAACTCCTCGGGACAGTTCGAGAGTGAGGCTACAGCTAAGGAGCGTAAGAAGCTCGAGGATAAGGAGAAGAAGAGGGCGGAGGACAGGAGGAAGAGGGAGGCGTATCATGGGTATAGTGCTGCTATGATTGAGCGGTTTACTGGAATGGGCTTTCAAGTGGAGCAAGTAGTATCTGCCTTTGAATTCGTGGGCATAGATAAGGCTGGCGGCGAAGAGTACGAGCTGGAGGAGGAGTATATTGGTGATGTGACGGCGAGGCTGTTTGGGGAGATGTGAAGGGGTCGAGAAGACATGGGTGGTAAGCTCTGCGGAGTCGGTGGAGGCGGTGAAGATCTGGTCCAATCCGCGCGCGGTGGTACTACGTACAGACAACGACGATGCACACGATGTGATATGAGACGATGGGTTTAATGTGATATGGCTGTACACTCTCACTTCGCTCTCTCCACAATTTTGGCGACTCAATGTCATGTTCAAGGTACACAGATTGCTGACAGCGAGGTGTAAACATGAGAGCTAACGACCAGGCTTCTGACGCTTGCGAGTACGCTCCTGCCGCTGCGCGATCGTTGTGCAACCGCTGCATTCTACGAGGCCGACCAGATGGAGCTAGGAGTGTCGTTGAACGACTTTCGTTTGGTCTGCTACTTAGACGTACCACAGTATACATAGCCGACTTTGAAGACGCTGATGCGTTCTGTGCTACGACTAATCCAACGCTACGGCTTAATTTACCTCCAGCAAGCAAAGACAAGACAGATCGTCGAGCAAACTAAAAGAGGATGCTAGGCCTGCTCAGCCATCAAGGATCTGGCGTGACTGCGGCTGTTCCAGCGCATGTGTATGAAAGAGAATGTGGAATGGACACCAACAAGGGCGTATGGTCTCAATGGTAAGATACTTGTTACCCTTGAAAGGTCTCCGACCTTCCAAGGGTGCTTGTGATGCTGGTTCGAGTCCGGCTTCGTCCATTATCGGGGATGTGGTCTCAAAGGTAAGATGCCGCGCTTCTGCAGATGTCTGTTTATCTACTTGAGCTTAGACCTTATGGCGTGTGTGATGCTGTTTCGAGCCCGGCCATCTCTACTCTTTTGCGTTCACGTCCTGAAGAAGGAGGAGTACATTGAGCACCTTCATAAGGGGCCTCTCCGACGTGCTGATCTTATTTACCGTGGTGCACAGCTGCTGCCACAAGGAGCTGACGATCAAGCAAGCACGCATCTCCGTCGCTCGATATGCGCTCTATGCTCGTGCATTCGGCCTCGTGAAATGACCATCCTGCGACGACGTCACGAAGCGCATATTACAGTGTGCTAGAAGAAGGGGTATCCCCGCAACTCAGCACAGAGCGCATGCTCGTGCAGTTGTCCATTGAGACCGGAAACGCGAAGGATGCGCTTGAGTGACTGGTTTGGTCCCCGAGCTCAATTCTGGTCTTGACGCCGAAGAGGGAAGGAGCGCCGACCATCACATGCCAACGGTTCTTGTTCGGCACAGAAGCTGTTGGTACATATTACTTATCAGCAGGTCAGTGAAACAGGGTCGTAGCCGGGAGTATCAGATCTGCACCTTGCGCCCAAAGAGAAACATCGTAACCGATTCGTCGGGATAATAGCTCGAGCATGATTCTAGCAAGTAGCAAGGGTTCGAGAGTCTTGACTCAAATGCAATGAACTTCTGGTGACAGCCCGGACATTGACACTGCACCTCACGTCCATAAAGAAGTTTCGTTGTTGCTTTGTCGATTTACGAGCATATTTCTAGTGAGGAGTCAGTGAGTCTCGACTCGAGCGCAGTTCAGTGATCAATCACCTCTTTTTGACCTTTTGTTAGATTTTGCACACCTCTGCTTCACACATCTTCATTACTTCTGGATCGGCATGCGCAAGTAAATTAAATCAAATCATGCATATGACTACTTTACACGCATTCGCGTCAAAGGCGACAAGACAGCACGTAGTTAGTATTCAGTAACGTCGATGTATGGGCAACATATTCGAGAATGACAGGCTCGAGTTTGATATATCTTGTGCAGCCCGACGGAGCACTCATGTCAGCTGCACGAGCTGCTGCAGCCAATACACGGCCGCAGGTGGTAGACCGCTCTCGTGATAGGGGTTTCACGGGCGTCGCAAGAGAGGCAAAGTAAGCACGTGAGTATTTCTTGTATCGCATGTGCATCAGCGAAAGCCATGCGACTGATATGTCTCCTGGCAGGACCCTGATGAAGCGTGGCGTATCTCTTTGTGCTCGTGCACTTTGCGGAGGACGTTAGAAGAAAGAGAAGCTTATGTTCATGCAGGAGACGGACACTCCCGGCTAGCGCGCCAGACTTCATACGCGATCAATTGGCGGATGTCTTAGGGAGTCGTGCATATCAGCAGTGAACAAACATCAGCCTCCTGAACCCTGCTGTAACACTTTCACGGCCATGCCATGCCAGCGACCTACACTTACCACCTAGACCGACGACGCGCCAATCTCCTTTCTATTGTGCTGCTTGCGGCATCGCGGTGATCCTGAATCCCGTGCGCTGGCGTTTGGATCTGGGCCAGCTGTTGAATTGTTGATTGTTGAGACGGCGGAGGTGTAATTAGGATAAGCATACATCATGGCACACCCATACGACGTGGGTACCAAGGTGTGGCAGCCCGACAGCACCGAAGGATGGGTGGCTTCGGAGGTGACGGAGAAGAATGTCCAGGGGGACAAGGTGTTGCTGGTATTTGCGCTGGAGAATGGCGAGGTATGGTGATGATATGTCTCATGGCGCAGACACGATGCTGATACAGGCAGACCACGACATTCGAGACGACACTCGCCGCGCTCCAGGACGAGAACAACGCCAACAGCTCCAAGTTACCGCCGCTGATGAACCCGACGATACTTGAAGCGAGCGATGACCTGACGAATCTATCACATTTGAACGAGCCTGCTGTATTACAAGCCATCCGACTCCGATATGCGCAAAAGGAGATCTACACATACTCTGGTATCGTGCTGATAGCCACGAATCCGTTCGCTCGAGTAGATTCGCTCTATGTCCCGGGCATGGTGCAGGTCTATGCTGGCAAGCATCGCTCCTCGCAAGCACCACATCTGTTCGCCATTGCGGAAGAAGCATTCACGGAGATGCTCCGCGATGGCCGGAATCAGACGATTGTGGTCTCAGGAGAGTCCGGAGCAGGGAAGACGGTGAGCGCCAAGTACATCATGCGCTACTTTGCCACCCGTGAACCTCCTGAAGAGCCTGGTACACGCCGCCGAGACCGCCGCGGCGATGCTATGAGCGAGACGGAAGAGCAGATATTGGCTACGAATCCGATCATGGAAGCCTTCGGCAACGCGAAGACGACTCGCAACGATAACTCTTCTCGCTTTGGAAAGTACATCGAGATCATGTTCAACAAGAGCACGGAGATTATTGGCGCACGGATACGAACATACTTGCTTGAGCGGACAAGGTTGGTGTTTCAGCCACTTAAGGAGCGGAATTACCATATCTTTTATCAACTTGTAGCGGGTGCGTCGGAGGCGGAGAGGGAAGAGTTGGGCTTGATACCAGTCGAGCATTTCGACTACCTGAATCAAGGAGGTGTGCCGCACATTGAGGGCGTGGATGATGGAAAAGACTTTGCGGATACGAGAGCGGCGTTGACGAGATTGGGCGTGCCGGCACAGGATCAGACAGCCCTCTGGCGGATACTGGCAGCGCTGCTGCACATTGGCAACATCAAGATCTCGGCAAGCAGGACGGAGTCGCAATTATCTGCTGCGGAGCCCTCTCTTGCCAAGGCTTGCGCACTCCTCGGCATCGACGCTTCTGAGTTCGCTAAATGGACCGTGAAGAAGCAGCTGGTCACCCGCGGTGAGAAGATCATCTCCAATCTCACCCAGCAACAAGCAACCGTCGTCCGAGATTCAGTAGCCAAGTACATCTACTCCTCGCTGTTCGACTGGCTGGTCGAGACCATGAACAACTACCTCGCCTCCGAAGAGACGCTAGCTCAAGTCAAATGCTTCATCGGAGTGTTGGATATTTATGGTTTCGAGCACTTCGCCAAGAACAGCTTCGAGCAGTTCTGTATCAACTATGCGAACGAGAAACTGCAACAGGAGTTCAACCAGCACGTCTTCAAGCTTGAGCAAGAAGAGTACATGCGGGAAGAAATCCAATGGGAGTTCATTGACTTCAGCGACAACCAACCTTGCATCGACTTGATTGAGGGTAAGCTGGGTGTCTTGGCGCTGTTGGACGAGGAGTCTCGCCTGCCGATGGGTAGTGATGAGAGCTTCGTCACAAAGCTGCACCACAACTTTTCGAACGACAAGCATGCCTTTTACAAGAAGCCCCGGTTCGGCAAGAGCGCGTTCACTGTCTGTCATTACGCGATTGATGTCACGTATGAGAGCGAAGGCTTCATCGAGAAAAATCGAGATACCGTACCTGATGAGCACTTGGAGGTGCTTAGGAACACCAACAATGGCTTCTTGAGGGAGGTGATGGATGCTTCGGCAACCGTGCGAGATCGAGACACAGCTGCAGTAGCACCCAAGGCCGGACCTGGTATCAAGCGAGCCGGAGCCGCAGCAGCACGGAAACCGACGCTGGGTGGCATCTTCAAGAGCAGCTTGATCGAGCTCATGAGCACAATTGAGAAGACGGAGGTGCACTATATTCGATGTATCAAGCCCAACGAGGAGAAGGTGGCGTGGAAGTTCGAGGGTCCGATGGTGCTTTCGCAATTACGTGCTTGCGGTGTACTCGAGACTGTTCGAATCTCGTGTGCGGGTTATCCAACACGGTGGACGTACGAGGAGTTTGCGCTTAGGTATTACATGCTCATCCCTTCTACCCAGTGGACAACCGAGATCCGGGATATGGCCAATGCCATCTTGCGCAAAGCTCTGGGCGAGGGCAAGCATGACGGTACAGACAAGTACCAGCTTGGTCTCACCAAGATCTTCTTCCGGGCTGGTATGCTGGCATTCCTGGAGAACTTACGAACAAACCGACTCAGTGCTGCAGCTGTCATGATCCAGAAGAATCTTCGTGCGTTACATCAACGGAAGAAGTACCTCGAGATCTGTGACAGCCTGCTAGCCTTTCAGTCCCTCATGCGAGGACTCCTTGCGCGGAAAAGCGCCCAAGAGGCGCGGCGGCGAAAAGGGGCCACGACCATCCAGCGTGTCTGGCGCGGGCAGAAGGAGCGCAAAGCCTACCTACGCCAGCGCAACTATCTCATCCTCTATGAAGCGGCGGCTCGGGGATGGCTTTGCCGGAAACAGATACTGGACAAGAGGCTAGGCGATGCGGCTCGGGTGATCCAGCGCAGCTGGAGACATCATCACCAGATGGGTGAGTGGCGGGACTACAGGCGGAAGGTGGTCAAAGCGCAGAGTCTGTGGAGAGGCAAGACGGCGCGGAAGGACTACAAGGTGTTGCGAGAGGAGGCGCGGGATCTGAAACAGATCTCGTACAAGTTGGAGAATAAGGTTGTGGAGCTCACCCAGAGCTTGGGCAGCATGAGGAGCGAGAACCGTACGCTGAAGGGGCAAGTTCAGAACTACGAGTCTCAGCTCAAGAGCTGGCGAGAACGGAGTACGGCGCTTGAGGCTCGTGCGAACGATCTACAGCGCGAGGCGAACCAGGCAGGTATCACTGCTGCGAAACTTACTGCGGTCGAGCAAGAATTCCAGCGATTACAAACCAGCTTTGAGGAAAGCCAAGCGAGTATGCGGCGGTTGCAGGAAGAGGAGAAGACACTGCGAGAGAGCCTGAAGAACACCAGTCAAGAGCTTGAGCTTACTAGGCAGAGCAAGACGGTGTCCGAGACCGAGAAGCTGAGCTTGAGGCAGCAGCTCGCAGATATGCAGGACCAGCTGGAGCATGCCAAGAGGGCGCAGGTTCCGGTCGCCACGAATGGCGATCTGATGAACGGAAATGGAGCCGTAGCGCCGCAGGCTTCGG